CCCTGGACAAGTTTACCCAAACTCTCCCATCTCAGTCTCCTTGGCCATAAAATGAGGACAGTTATAAATGGCACTAGATTCAGAGGTTTATCCTGAAGATTAAATAAGTCAATAAGTATAAAACATTGAGTGGAGGAGGAAATAGCTCAATAAAAAAAGTGTTTGTTGCACAAGTGAAAATATCTGAATTTGATCCCAAGAACCCAGTTTAAAGAGAAAAAAAGAAAAAAAAGTAAGCCAGGTATGATGGCAGTACACACTTTTGATCCCATCCCCCTGGAGGCTGGGGGAATCAGTGGATCTCTGTGAGGTCAAGCCTGGTCAACATAGTGAGTTCAAGGCTAGTTAAAGCTATGGCACTTTCTGTTTGTTAAAACAGAAAGCCATGCTGGAATGAGTAAAAGCACTTGCTGTACAAACAACCCAAGTTCTCCTAGATGCAAGAAAGGTCGGCATACAACTAAGCCCCGCATTCCTACAGAGAGGGAGAACATGCCAGAAGCCTGTGCGTCAGATAGCTACCCTGGAGTACACTTGCATAGGGCAGAGACAAGAGAGACCCCACCTCAACAGAGTAGAAGGTGAGAACTAATTCCTAAAAACAATTCTCTGATCTCCACCCAAGCACTATATAGCACATGGCTAGCCAATAAAGTCTGACTGGGGATTTCCAGGCAAGCAAGAAATCCAAGCCTCCCTCCAAAACAAAGGTCCAGGCTGGAGAGATGCCTCAGTGTTAACAGCACAGGTTGTTCTTCCAGAAGACACAGATTTGATTCCAGGACCCACATGACAAGTACCAGGGAATATGAGGCTCTCTTTTGACTTCTGTGGGCACTGCACACACATAGTACACCGGAACACACACACACACACACACACACACACACACACATGCTCGCGCACACACATGCCAGAAACTAAAAATGAAATGGGCAGCACCCAGGACTGCCCTCTTGCCTACTGAGCATATGCATATGCTCCCTGACAACTCAGCAGCTGCACTGTGAGTCTGGTTTTATCCAGGAACAGCAAGGACACCTTGGCACTTCTGAAACCTAGCCTAGAGAATTCTCCTCCCTCTTCCCATAAACCACATGCTCTAGAGAATTTGAGAAATACTTGACCATGCCTTTTGCTTTCGATACTGAGAAAAAGATCTGGGAGTTTGTGGAAAACAAACAAATTACATCTGGGTCTTACCAAAAATGGACTTTTCAGTGAGAAGTTGGGGAGTTTCTATGCCAAGGTTTTGAGAGAAGAAAGTCTGTGAGGAGCTAGGAGCTGATCTAAGATGACTGGATCCCCAGAAACTCACCAGGTACCCTTAGAAACCATTCAAACTTCTGGAATCAATCTCTGGGAACTTTCTGATTAATCAGGACAGTTAGTACTATCCAGTAGTGTTACATTAAAGTAACTGTGATAATGATAATGTAAAAACCACTTAAATCTATAAGGAAAATGCTAGAGAACCTGTGCTGCAGGCTGGGGCCTGTGCAAGTGACAGGGTGGGGTGCAGAAGAAACAGGAAGCGATTGACAGCCCTGACTTCCCAACCTCTGGTACAGAAGAAAGGTAGATAAGACAGATTCAGCCTGACACAACATCCTTCCCTTGTGCCCCTGCCCAGACTTCCTAGTCTGTCAGAGGGGACCAGTGGCTACTCCAGCAGGTGCCCAGCCTCAGAAGCCCAAACGCCCCAAGCGTCCTGCCCACCCAGGCTCAGGCCTATTCACCTCCAGGGTAAACCTGGCCCCTTTGTGCATTCCAAACTGCTACACCCCTGGCTCACACACCACCACCAAGCACAAGGGTATTCACAGGTTACCTGGAATCCTGCTAACTGCCTCATTTCATAGATGAGAAAAATGAGCAGGAATGAACTTACCTGAGGCATCAGAAGTTTTCCAGAAGCCATAGCCTGCAAGATTCTACCACAGATCTACCTGAATTCAAGTAGCCAATGATAAGATAGGATATGAAAGTCCTAGTCTCAGTTTTAGTATCTGTGCTCTCTTCTAAACTGAAACCAGATTCAAGGTCCAGTGATAAATAAGCTGTTTCCACCTCTAAAACTCCAGCCCAGCATTTTCTGTTTCGGTTTTGGATTTGATGTAATTTCTCATTGCTGGTGGCAGTTTGTTTATTTTGTTGTTGAGTGCTGGTGGTAGTGGATTTTACTTATTTACTTTTGAGGTGGAGGGTCTTGCTGTATTGACCAGCCCAGACTCCAACCTTGCGTGCCACCTCCCCAGTGGTAGGCTTACAAGTGTGTGTGTGACCATGCCCAGCTCTATAGCTCTCTTAGACAGGATGACTACAATGAATGGGCTGAGCTAGGGGAATGTGTGGGCAGTTGCCATGTGTATTCTAACATCTAGACTAGCCCAGCATGCTAAGGATGAGGACTGGATCTACTCCACCGGCATCCAGCCTGGCCCTTACAGGTCTCATCAGAGGCTGGTGACCTCAGGAGGGGCCTATTCCTCCAGCCCCTCCCAACTTTAGGAGTGAAGATGCAGCCTGCAAGAACAGAATCCCCCACTACACTTGAGAAGCATCTTCTCCTTTCTTTATACCCTAAATAACTCCACAGAGATTACCCAGACGTCAAACTCAAATCAGAAAGCAGTCAGGCCTAGTTTGGTGGCATGTGACTTTAATCCCAGCACTTGGGAGAAAGAGACATGAGGATCTCTTTTGAGTTTGAGACCAGCCTGGTCTACATAGTGGATTCTGGGACAATCAGTACTACATAGACACTCAAAAGAGCAAAACAAACAAACAAACAAATAAAAAAAGCAGTCAGTTAAGGGATTTGGGACTCAGGACTGGAAGGCACATTCTTATCACAGGACTTAAATTTCAGTTTCAGTTTGAGCACTCACTTCCAAGAAACCATCCAAAGTTCAGCAATATAGTAGGTAGAAGATGGAAGCAACTCTCATCCAAACTTCTTATCCAGTTAGAAAATGAGAGCAGGGAGAGATCTGGGTTGAACTTTCATGCTGGCCTGCTCCCCTATGCCCTCCCTGCACAGGAAGCTACCCAGGCCTCTAGCCACAGCCCTACCTTTTAGTTTGGGTTTGGGTTTTGTTTTTTAAACTTTTCCCCTTTTATTTTATGTGTACAGGTGTTCTGACTGCACCTATGTCTATGTGTCACATGTATACAGTGCCCTTGGATGCCAGAAAAAAATGTGTCAGATCACTTAGGACTGGAGTTACGGACAGTTGTTAGCTACCATGTGGGTGCTGAGAATTGAACCCATATTCTCTGGGAAAGCATCTGGTATCCTTAACCACTGAGCCATGTCTTCAGCCCCTTTTTATTTTGTTCGAGACAAGGTCTCTCTACACAGCCCAGGCTACCCTCCTCTTGTATCAAGCTCCAAATAGTGGGTTTGCAGGTGTGTGCCACCATGCCCGGCTTCACAGCCCTTCTGATGGGGTGACTACAAACATTGAGCTTAGTGCAAGGAAAAGAGTGATGAGTTTCCCTGCTGGACCTGAAAGGAGGGGGTCGTCCGTAAGGAGGGGGTTCCTATGCAAATCTCCTGTTGGCACATATTTATTTCTTATTCTTTTAATTAAAATAAAAATGCAAGAGTGGTGAGCTGGCTCATCAAGTAAAGAAGATTGCTGCCAAGCCTGACGACCTGAGTTCAAATCCAAGGATCCAGACATTGAAGAAAAGACCTAACTCCTGCAAGCTGTTCTCTGACTCTCACGGCATATGCATGCCCCTGAAACACATTTAGAAACACACACAGTTACACAGTGAAAACGCACAACAGAAGCACACATGTGTTTTCAACAGTCAGCTCCTAATGTCTCAGTAGGGTTCAAGCTTTAGCCACAGTTGATGCTGCTAACTTCTGTGGTTAGGTTTTCCTGGGTATAAACAGAATGCAAAACAGTCTGGCCTGGCAGTACCAGAGGCTGAGAGTGCTCCTGGAACTGCTGACTTGTAAGTGATGCTCCACTCGAGACCAGAATGAATCTGAATTTCATTAAAACCCACAACAGATACTCAGCTGGAACACAATCCCAAGTGGGTTGTCTGCAAAAACCTACAACCTGAACCAAGTCAATAAAGTCCCTGCAAAGTGAAGAGGACATTTGCCCAGTTCCGATCTCAAGACATCATGGGTTAGCAAAGAGGCTGGGCCTGGGATGTATCTCAGTTGGTGGAGTGCTTGCCTGGCATGCAGGAGGATTTCAAAAACAATATGGGGCCCATAGCTATAACTCCATCACTAGAGAGGTGGAGGCAGGAGAATCAGAAGTACAAGGTCGTCCTCACTACTTAGCAAGTTTGATGTGAGCCTGGGCTACCTGAGGCCTCTTCTCAAAAACAAACAAACAAACAAAAAAAAAAAAAAAAAAAAAGAGCCAGGCAATAGGTGCACACCTTTAATCCCAGCAATAGAAAAGCAGAGACAGGAGGATCTCTGTGAGTTTGAGGCCAGCCTGGTCTACAGAGTGAGTTCTATGATGGGCTCCAAAGCTACAGGGAAACCCTGTCTCAAAAAACAAAAACAAAACAAAAATCAGAAGGAAAAGAGAAGAGGGATGTGGAGAAGAAAGGAATGAAGGAAAAGCCAGAGCTGGGAATTTGCTGGCAACAGGGATAGCCATGAAATAAATCAGCTGATGACAGAAAAGCCCACTATCCAGGGGGTTCAACTTCTAACAGTCCACCCCAGGAAATTGTCCCGTGTTGCTGGTTTGATAGAAAGACCCAACCTCCAACTTGCCGGCCTTCTATTGAGCCTGTTTCAGGCGGGGTGGCTTCCACCCTATCCACTTCACTGAGTGCTGACATGGCTCAACAGGTGCCTTCTGACCCACAGCCGATACCTGATCCCAGCCGTGGATGAAGTGTGCTCCTTCACTACAAAGCTCCTCTTCAAAACAGCAAGTCAGACCCCGAGAAGACAAGAGTCATTATTAAAACGCTACCCCATTCCTGCCCCACCCCCACCCCGTACTTACTATGGGTGCTGGCATCTTCTTCAGCAATGTGTGGGGCTCAACTTCAGCTTAACAATGGCGTGGATGCCTAAGGCACAGAGGGAGCAGTGCTTATTATGTCTCTAACAAGAAGCGGGGTCCTGGAGCAGGTGGCTTCCAGCAGGGCCCTCTAGGAACAGCTACCAATCTCCTCCAACTTTCTCGCCCGCCTCTTCTCTGCTCTCCGCTTGCCCTTGAATTGATAAATCCCTCTCGAGAGGCCAGGGGCAGCTCACTGGATTCCTAGGCGCTAGCACTCTTTCTGGCCAGGCACTCGGGAGCGTCCCTGGCTGCTTTTTGTACGTCCTGCAGATGCCAGGCGGGTGGCAGCTACGTGCCTGACTTGTTTACCACCGCCCAACCGCTCTCCTGCTCCCAGACAGCCTGCGGGGACTCGCAGAGGCAGCCGGGCTTTCTCACCTTTGCAATGGTCCCGGAAAGAAGCGCTCCACCCTCTTCTGTTCACTAGTTGGCAAGCAAGGCCAGGGCAATGAGGACTGGTTTAATGGCCGCAGTCCCAGCCAGGCCTGGTCACCCCGCCCCTCCTCCTGTGACTGACTAATGGTGTCCTTGGGCGTTACTTAGCTGCCTCCCTCTGGCTTCGTGCTTAGCTACTCTGCTCCTCTGTCCCAGTTATCCCTGCCTCTGACAGTCTTCAGACACCCCTCTGCCGGTGCCTAACATGTAAGGACATGTCAAAAACAAAATAAAAACAATAACAAAGCAGGAAGTGAAATTCCCACATGACAGCTTCCCACACTATATCAGAAAGAAACCATCGCCCAGAGGCCCTGGATTCCATTCCCAGAACCAACCCCCAAAAGATAACTCACCTTTTCAGTCTTCCTAATTGATTCAAGCATTTCTGCACACCTTAACTATCCCTTGTCCACAGTATAGAAGTAACTGACTCTTCCCTAGCTGCTTCTTAGGGTCCTTGTCTCCTCCTCCTCTTCTTCACACTCCCTGTTTCTTTCTGATCCTAGGAGTCTCACAGACACTAGGAATTGCAATTGGGCCACAAATCCATAAGTCTTCATTTCCCCATGCAAACCCCTATGATACACAAAATAGAGTCAGAAAACTTGTATGTTTTTACTCCTGTTCATCTGTCTTGTGTCCATTTAATTCTGAAATTCGACCCGGATCCGAGGGTAGAGTTGGATTCTTGCTTTTCCCTACAAATTTATGTGAAACTTAAAAGCCAGCCAAAGGGAAGGGTTTGATGGCATACAGCTGCAGCCTGAGGCAGAAGATCACCAGAACCTGGAAGTTCCAGACCAGCCTGGTCAGCATAAAGACCTCTGTATAAATGGGAGTGGCGGGGACAACTAGGAACCATACACCTAGCCAAAAAGCCTTTAACTTTAAGCCATAGTATATCCCCAAATGTGTTCATCTGTATCACCAATGGCACACAGCATTTTATGAGTGAGTGAATGACCAAACACAGTCCCTTGCTCTGCTCTGGGCTCGGACTTCACAAAAGTGAAATTAATTCTTAAAAACAAAACAAAAACAAAAACAAAAAACACAGGTTCAGCTTTTTTTTGGACGTGTTAACAAAATAGGTTTAGTCAAAAGGCCAAGGTCCATGTCATTATCAGACTCCTCAGAGTCTTTCCTCTTTGCTTGCACGTTTTCCTCCTCAGTTCGGGCAGCAGCAGAGGGGACAGAACCCCTGCTGGCACAGCTCCAGCTGCTAGAGCATGCCCACCAGCCCCTACACTGCAAATGAGGCTCCCAATGTTGACAGGCCAGGCCAGGAAGGGTCAACGTGGACACCAGCTGCTTTAATGAGGACATTGACCTTACCCTCCATGACAATCACCTCACAGGCATGCAGGATGAGCGTGGAACAGATTCAGGCAAGCTCAGAGACAGAGATTATGTTTCAGACTGCCGGCATGATGCTAGTCGCAAAAAGAAGTGAAGGCCTCACCATCACATGGTCTTAGCTTCCTCCAAAGGACCAAGCACCTTGGCAGCAGCTGAGGAGAGGCTAAAATGAATTGTTTTGTTTTTTCAAGATAGGGTTTCTCTGACTGTCTGGCTCTCTCTGGAACTCACAGAGATCTGCCTGCCTCTGCCACCAGATGCCACTGGGATTAAAGGCATGCACCACCAAGCACTACAATGAATTCTTAATCATATCTATATTCATCCATTCCATGCCAAAATTAGGCTTTTAAAGTGAGGATGCTCCGGCCAAACCCTAGCCTTGCCCTTGCTACTTTAAGAGACTATAGTGTATAGTTCCCTCTGAGCCTCATTCTGTTCGTCTGTAAAACAGGTCACTGATGCTATTAGACAATGCACAAGAATGTATTTCCCAAAGGAAGAGATCATTAACATGCTCAACATTGTCTTCCACGTGGTAAGTCCTTGGTCAGGATGTGTTAGTAACATGAGAGGCACACGATCATCCCCATCACAGGATACTCACTGCTTCTTGATTAGGAGAGTCAGCATTAATAAATGCCACTGTTTTATGTGCTCTGTCCTCAAACAATCCATCACTGTGCATACTGGGCTAGTGACTGTAAGGCCATCTAAACCCACAATGGGGCTAGTGAGATGGCTCAGTAGGTAAAAACATCTGCCACTTTAGCCTCAGCCAGTGTTAGATCCCAGGACCTGCATGGTGTGGGAAAAGTGACCCCTGCAAGTTCTGACCTGCACACCTACACATTTGCACCATGGTATATGCACATGCTCTCTCTCTCTTTCCTCCCTTTTCTCTCTCTCTCTTTCTCAAATGTAATAAATAAAGAAAATAAGAAAAAGATGGAAAATATCTTGTGTAGTAGTAACTCTGGAAGTAGAATCCAGGGTTAGGCAAGCTAGCTCTACCCAAGTTTTATCCCCAACCCAAGTGCATTTTTGGAAACCCATATTGGCTTCTGCTTCTCCTCACACTCTGCTTTTAGATGGACCCAACTGTTACCTCCAATGCCCATCTTTCCTAACATTATGCCAGACACAAACAGAACAAATTGTACAGGAGTGGTCTAGTCACAGAGCTTTGGATTTTCCTTTTCACCCCATTCTGTAATATTCAGTAAGAAGCTACTGCTTGATGCCAGCACCATCATTAGACTGCCCTTAGCATTCCAAGACTGGGCAGCTAATACAGGAAAGGTCTATTTGGTTCACAGCTCTGGAAACTACCCAGCATCTGTTGAGATCTTTGGGCTGCACCAGAACATGGCAGTGGCATTGCATAACAACACAGAGCCAGGATGCTCGACAAAGCTTTCCTGATGGAGCCTCTCATCCCACTACCTACTAATGATGAAGGGTTTGATCCATCAGTGAGGGCTCTACCCAGTCATCTCCCAACATTCTCTCCTTTTAATTGCTGACAACATGTAGCACTGAGGATTCAGTTTCCAGCACATGAACTCTAAGGAACATTTAAACCATAGCACCTGCAGTTTATAGGCTTTTTGACAAATCAATTTTCCTTGAGAAACAGGGAAGCAATACTACTTTTTAAGAATTTTCTGTCTTTTCACTCTGCCTGAGTGAAATGGGGAAAATGATTCCAGCCTTGAAGAGGATTCACAGATCCCATGAGGAATCTGAGCAGGTGGAGAAGCCACTGTAGAATGAGGGGAGGGGTGGGGCTAGCAGGAAAACAGTAAACAGGGACTGTCTGTGATGTCTGTCTCCTCTACATAAGAACCAGAGCACACATTCCTGAACAGCACAAGTGACTGTGTTGCTTAACAGCCAGTCAGAACAGACGATCTCCCCTGGGGAGGGGTGGGGGGTGGAAAGGATCTCTAGCCAACTGAACGCAGGGTTTTCACATGCATCCAGGTTGCTGTGGTAACACTTGTGAATATGCCAATTCTAAGTTTGCTAGGCTTTTATGAAAGACAATAGTGAAGTGCTTCTTCCAAATCCCTTCTTTCTGAAACCCCCAGAGTACTTCTGGGGAGAGCAGAGAATAAATCCCAGGTGAAATGCCCTGAAGCATATCCCCTGCATAAAAAGTATAGCATAAGCATCTCTACCCACCATCCTCAAAAGAGCATTCCAGAACCTTTACCCTAGGCATCCTTCTAGGCCTAAGTGTCTCAATCTCATGCATGCTAAACAGCTATTTTGGGGGCCTAGGGAATGAAGTGGGTTCTTGCATCAGGCTGGCCAGCAGTCTTTCCTTTGGTGACTCTGGTAAGAGCAGCAGCCTTCCTGCAAATTACCATCTGTGACCTAGGTCAGACTTTCTTAAACCTTAGCCCCTGGGCTATGGCTGACTACAAAGGGCATGACTCAAGCCATACCATCCTAAAGTCTTTCCTGGAATGGAGATAAACATGTTTTAAAAACTCTGGTGACATTTAAGTGTGATGACATAAGACTAGAGCCATTTGTGACCCCAAAGGCATATGGAAAAACCATCTGTCACAGCAGATAATGTGTTTGTACAATGATAAGAGCCCTGTAGGGGTTTTTCTCCAGTGCCTGGTATTGGTTTTGCACTTACGTGCCCATTCAATCTGTACTTGCCTTAAAGTCAGCTACCAGGTAAGCTAAAGAAAGCATCAGCATTGAAGAGAAGCCACAATTGGGCCCACACTACTCACCCTGGTCCTAATGCTGATAAGGGCAACAATGACAGCCTGCAAGTATTGGATCTTTGTTTTTACCCCACCCCTGTTTCAATCTGAGTTTGCCCTTCTCCTGCTAACCTGTGAGGACCTCCTACTCACCTAGAATAACACCTGACACAATCCATAATCAGGGACAGAAGTCAGAATGAATGCTGAGCCCACCCAGTGAACTCCAAAGTGCAGAACAAATCTTTCTGGGCTAGAATCACAAGTACTGGAGAGATGGCTCAGTGGTTAAGAGCACTGGCTGTTCTTCCAGGGTTCTGAATTCAATTCCCAGCACCCATATAGCAGCTCACAACTGTCTATAACAGGATTCAATGTCCTCTTCTGGTGTACAGATGGGCATGCAGACAAAGCACTCATATGCATTAAATAAATAAATAAATGTTTTTTAATTCATAGTTCAGTTGGTAGAGTATTAACTGTGATCCCACCAGAGATGACCTTTCAGGCACAGTATGCAGCTGAAAGACCCGTGGAGGGCATGGACCCTCACGCCCCAACTCAGGAAAGGCGGCCCCCCCAAATCACTCACGAGAAGCAGTCTTGATGCAAAAGCATGAGGTTTTTTATATTACAGTGCACTGGGGTCCGCAGTCATACTCCATGTGGGGTAGAGGACTGGGAACCCTGGGTACAGGGTTCAGACAGCTTTTATAGGGTTACAACAAAGCCTGCACATCACAAACCAATTATCTCATAGCATCCAGTGTGGACCAATCAATTTGAACTATCCAAGCCCATGCTTCACCCAGGAAGTCTGCTTTTGATAGGGCTCCTTGGTAGTGTGGCACAGCTCATTTTCTGTTCATATTCACTTACAGGTGCTGTCAGTAACCCACCCTGTCATAAACAGTCAAGAATAAACTTTTGCCTACTCACTGCTAGGGGGCAGAGTCTAGGGGAAATT